AACTTTCCTTGAGCTGAGAAAAGCAGATTTAAAAATCTGCAATGTCATCACAATGAATATCTATGGCCAAGCAGGAACTTACGGGCAGGGCCAGCAATAAAAACATATATAGTTACATATACAAAGGCACCATCTTTGGGTCTGGTATCCTATTCTCCCACTGGATAAAAATGAAGCCAGACTGCCATCTTGCTTTGGTCACGTAATTTGGAGCCAGGCGCTGCACAGTAGTCATCAGGTTGGAGCCGCGATGTTGCGGTCCTTTTGATCTGGCTGGTCTGGCCGGATACTTGAAACATGTTCTGAGCAGTGAGCATTAAGGGGTTGCACCAGAACAGGTTTACATGGTTTAATTTTCAAAAAAACATGTTTTTGTCATACTACACATTGCTGCAGCTCCTCTTTTCACCCTGTGTTGAAGGCTTCGTTTTAGCTATGGAGTGATACATCTTGTCTCTAAATGATCTTTGTTGGGAGTTGCACATGCGCAGTTCCTAGTTAAGGACTACTAGCCAATCAGAAGCAGAGTAGGACGGGTCAGTGAGAAGCCGGTAAACACGGTTCAGCTGTGTATCCCCTTACCAGCTTTGCAACATGGACTGGAGTTTCAGAGTGGTAAGTTATTAATCTGTAACAATTGTTTCTTTCATCCATAAAGTTTTAACTGAGCTCTGTCTCTACATCACAGTAACAACTTTATGTCCACTGACTGCCTGGAGGGTAGCTAGTGTTTGGAAGGGAGAGGAGAGGTGTGTGCTGTAGCTCAGTGTTTTTCCACCAGCGTTTTTGAGGGCGTGTCGGACTAGCCGGGCTACCCCTAATTGATTCATTACTCTTAATGCATAGTTTTATGGAACCTGATGAACAGTATTCCATGTTTAGATCGTTAAAGTTTCAGGAAAACCAACTGGACAACATTATCCGTGGATGTAAAACTGTACTCAGACACTGTGTCCATGGTCCCATGTACCACCTTTCCAGACCATGTTTCAGATTTGCCCTTGTGATTGCATTGCCAATCCTGCCAGCTCTTTACTGAACCGCAGTCAACATCACCATGTGTGCAGCTATATCTGAAGATGGTGTGGTGGGACGCAGACCTCGTATTTGATCATGTAATGCAGCTGTCCTTGTAACCTGCTGATGGCGTGTCGTATGTCATTGTGTGGGATAATGTCAGATTCCACCGTGCTCAGACGGTGCGAGCATGGTTTCAGACCCATCTACAATTTACCACCCTGTACCTACCCCATACTCTCCTGTCCTTAATCCAACTGAGGAATTTTTCCACATGAAGCTGGAAGGTATATGCTCGGCACCCTCAAGAACAAGTCACTCTTCTCCAGGACATAGATGTGTCAGGCCTGGATTCACCAAATTCTTCCCAAGACTGATGAAAACTAAAAAATTGACTAATGAAAACATTACAGTAATTGTGATGTAGATGAAAACCTGTGGCCAAATCCACAAGACAGGGTTGATGGAAATACTGAAGTACAGTAATCCATCCTTTGTTTTCTTTTTAAAATAAGCTAAGTGAGGAACCCTGCAGTTGACGTTATCCAGTACTGTAGTTTTTTTGTAGCTGATCATTTTGCATTGATTCAAAGACACCTAGTATGTTGTGATTTTACTGTATTGTTTCTTGTGTCAGATTTTCCTCTACTATTTTCTGTACTTTTACAGTGACGTATTTACGTTTAGTACCAAAATGATACATGTATCACATATTTTGTAGTATAATATATAATTATTGTGCACTACACAGTGAAACTATCAGTATCTTGTGTGTGGGCGATCTAAATTAATGTTCCTGTGGTATTTCATGATAAATTACTTTTTTGAACCAATGAGTCTGCAAGTGCAAGGTTTCTTTAAAGATATGAATGCACAATGCAATGTTTTGAACTCTGGAAAGCCTATGTTAAGTAATGACCATTTTGAAAAATGTTTCACATTTATAATATATGCTTCCATAGGCAATAAGTGCATCAGTAAGAATTTTGCAACATTTGAGGGAGCTACAGGCTGCCACATCACCATTGGAGAGAGAGAGAGAGAGAGAGAGAGATGTGCTGTACGAGTAAGTAGCCTTATCAACATAGTTATGATATAATGTACATGTAGTACAGTGAATACAAAACAGTTTTACAGGGGTAGCCTCTGGCTAACTTGCCATTTAGGGCTTTGATGGACAGGGGGACAAAGGAGTTTTAAAGCAGTTCAGCCTGCACTGGAGAACTCTGACGTGTCTGCCTGAGGGTAGAAGCTGGAAGTCATGGTGAAGGACATGGGTGGGGTCTGAATTATTTTTTGGGCCTATCTGATGTTGGATTATGGGATGCTGCTTGACTCCCATGATTTTCAAGGCTCTCTGTGTCATCCGTGTAATTGGGGCTTTCAGCTGTACCCTGAGGTTTCCAAACCAGGCTGGATGCTCTCAACTACGGCATGGTGGACAAGGAGCAGCACTTTTAGGCTTTTTGACCCTCAGCCTATGAAGGAAGTGTAGCTGCTGTATGACCCAACTACAGACACCCGTGTCAGTTTGTGGTTGCTGTGTATGCCTAGGTATCTGTAAGAGTTCTTGTCATGAACCTGTGAGTGGTCTCCTATGGATGTGGGGTCAAAAACCATGTCCTCTGTTTTCTTATGGTTGTATGAAAACCTAATCATGTAATTCATTGGTATAGAGGGTGAACAGGACTTGGGAGGCGCCGGTGCTGATGGTCAAGAGTTCAGACAAGGTCTTGTTCACCCTAACCTGCTGGGTGCGGCTGGTCAGAAATCATTGGTACCACTTAATAATGAAGGGGTTGAAATTCATTTTCTGCAGTGTTTTCAGGAGAACATGAGGCTGCAGGGTGTTAAAGGCTGAACTGAAGTCTACAAACTCTAGGATTTTCAACATGTTTAGTCACTAAGTGCAGTATACCGTTGGTTGCATCATCAGTGCCTCTCTGGTGTGTGCGTGTAAACTGGTAGGCATCTAGCTTTGGGGCTACATCCAGCTGTAGCTTACTCACCACGAGCTTCTTTAAAAAATCATTAATTCCCCTGTGGACAGGGTTTGTGAGGGATAGGTGCGATGATTGCCTTTTTTCATTGTGTTGGTATAGTATGAGAATATAGGGAGGCTGGGAAATCAGGCACCAGGCAGGTGTCAGTTCATCTGCATTTGCCATCTGGACCTGTGGCCTTGTTGACATTGATTTGCCTAAGGACCTTGCTTACAAAACCATACAGCTCATTTGCTTCAGCCAGTTCATCCACAACATGCAAAGATTCATTTGTGGGTTTTATGTTTGGGCAGTTCACATCGCGTCCCATAGTCTTTTTGAGTTCATAGTCTGGTGGTTTTCCTCCCTTGCTTCTTTGAGCCTCTGGCTCAACTGTGTTTGTATATTTTTAGTTGTAGGTGGTACCTGTTAATACAGTCCTTCACCTCCTCCACAAAATTGTATTTAATCTGTGGTAACTTCTGTGGCATTGTTCAGGTTCAGCTCTCCTGACAACACACCCCAGTCTGTGCATAAAAAGCAAGCTTTTCAGTGTTTCTATGCTATCATCAGCCCATGCCCTGATAGAATTAACCATGTGTTTACTGCTTGTATGTGGGGATCAGATTAACAGTGTTATGGTCAGAATTAGACAGAGGTGTTTTAGCTTTGGCTGGGTCTACGTCTTTTACATTATCATAGCACTTGTCTAAAATCCTATTCTTCTTGGTATCAAATTTAATATACTGTTCAAAACCTGGCAATGCGGTGTTTAAGTTGTAATGATTGAGATCTCCTAATCGAGGCATTTGGGGTGCGCTGTAGTTGTTCATGAACACAGTCTGCCACCTGTGTTGCAGTCCTCTAAGCATTACCATTGGGGTCACATAAACAGTGCAAATGAGGATATTACAAAACTTATGGGTTAGGTAGAACAGCCTGAGACTTACAGTTCTACATCAGGGTTACATATTTTGTCCCAGACTCTGCTTGTACATTAACGACATGTGGTGGTGTCTGCACTACATGTCTTTAATGTACAAGCACAGCCCGCTCCCTTTGCTTTTCCCAGACAGCTCACTTCTGTCATTCCAACAAGACAGACTGGAAGCGTCCAAGTGGAACCAAATTTGGATAGCAGGTGCACATATTAACCCCCCCCCCCCCCCCCCCCCCCCACACACACACACACACACATTTAGATCGTTGTTTTATCAGAAAATGTGAATATGTAGATGAGAGTACATTCCAAACTGTTGGTTGCCTTCAGCCATGACACAACAGAGCGAGTCATCAACATGATGTGTGCATAGATAATTAGCTTGTCTATATCAATGACATGCTGTTTAAACATGACCCTATTAAACCTATCCTGATGTGTTAATTAGCGAGCAAAACCTTTGATCTCAGACTGGGGTTGATCCTTTTTAATCAAGGATTAATTATGCCTAAAGACTTGTGATTAACCAGCAGAGTTATGAAGAAACTCCTGAAGAGAAGGACACAGAGTGGTTGGAGCCTGTATTATTGTGATCACAGATATCTGTGGTGTACATTGAAAACTACAGCGCTTCTGAACAGTTAAACAAAAGTAAAATGAGAGAGCTAGGTGTGAACACGTACTGACATATTGTACCAAGTAAAAACTGCCTGGCTGTAAATTGGCTGAAACAAACTACATAAATTACCTTTGGTAATGAATCATACCAAAGGCATACAAATAATGGAGATGAAAGAGTATTTTATGCTTTCCACTTTGAATATAAAACATTTGCCCCACATATTTTGCGTGACTGTAGGGACCCAATTATAGACTCATCAGTGTTCCCAATTTATAGTATTCCAAGTGACCTCAATTACAGACTAAGCATGTTGCACACCAGGCAGGTCACATGACCAAGAGACCAATTGACAAACCGTTGTTACATATCTGCATAGCTATATATGACAGGCTGTCAAACAGATTATGATCCTAATCCTACGTATGTCTTCTCTTTGCAGGGATAGTCGATTGAACTGAACCATAAATTCACACAGTCTGCTTTTCTCTAGGACTCTTTATACAGAGCCTACAGAATCAGTCCCTGAAATGATCGTGTTTGTTGGCTATAAACATAGGTAAGATATTATGGTTTGCATTTACATAGCGCCTTTTATCGAAAAACACTGTACACAGGGGAAATTAGAAATAAAGGTATGTCTGTAATATAAGCCCATATACTTTCTCTCCCACTGAGGAAATGCTGTTTGTAAATAACATAGAGCATCTTCATTATATCAGGGTAACTTAAGGTTTAACCTACAAAAGAGTAAATTCATAAAGTCTACATCATGTCAACTGACATAGACATAGAGGTAGGGAGGGGCCTGACCCTTTCAGCCACAGTGTAGCCCTCTTCAAATCATTGGCTCAAATGTTCTCTTAATATGCCAGTATGCTTTCAAATAAGACAAAAAGAAAGCTCAGAGCATTTTCTGACCTATTTTCTGTGGTGCAGCAGATCTAGCAGGCTGAGACTGCTCCCTCCATGTAGTTTGAGCCTTGCAGCTACAGTATGTTGATTTTCAATAGAGGGCCACAATCCATGGACTTGAAAATGCAATTGTAGTGAAAATGGAGGGCCATTAGACTGGAAAACTCAAAGCAATGAGTGCTTCATTTGAAAACTCTAAATGGAGTCTGGTGAAAGACACTTTGGAATTTCTCCACCCATGCATGTCTCTCTGCCTGACAGCTAAAACATTCTTTAGCAGTCTGTAAGAATTACAAATTTGGAATAAGATCCCTTAACATAACAACAACAAATAAAATGCCTTAAATGTAATTTATTTAATTGAATAAATAAAAAACAAATTGTATACAGTATGACTCTGACAACATTTTATACGCTATGGTTCTCTGGTTTTTATGATTGTGGACCATATCATGTGTTACATGCCTTGCAGGTAGTGACATGACTCAGGCGTGACCCTGGAGATGCCGAAGAGAAGAGACATCGTCGCCATTGTGTTGATCGTGTTGCCTTGGACATTGCTCATCACTGTTTGGCACCAGAGCACAATCACTCCTCTGCTTGCTATTCAAAAGGGTAAGGGTATAATTACTCAAGAGTCTGTGTTGATGTTTGATGAGTGAACATTTATCCCATTCATAGTTTTCTTACTCTATCGGTATGTTCGAACCTAAGGACTTGATAAAATGCCATGAAGTCAGGGCAAACGGCTGTGTACTTACATGATAATAGTTTAGCATCAAATTCTCTCAAAATTTCAGTCCACACTCATAGGCCCAACACCATTCAAGAAACACAAATCTGAATACACAATGGATTCATGTAGCACAAGCTCCAATCTGTATTTGACAGCACACAGAGGCTCACTGAAATCTTTTCCCCTCCTGGCCAGATGATAGACGTGATGGTCGCTCCAATTCCAGGAATACTTTTGCTTTCAAGGAGTCCTGCTCACTTCAGAACCGGGACATCGTGGAGGTGGTGCGGACTGAGTATGTCTACAGCCGTCCCCCGCCCTGGTCTGACATCCTTCCCACCATCCACGTCATCACTCCCACCTACAGCCGGCCGGTGCAGAAGGCAGAGCTGACACGCCTGGCCAACACCTTGCTGCACGTGCCCAACCTGCACTGGATCCTGGTGGAGGACTCCCAGAGGAGGACCACTCTGGTCAGCCATCTGCTCCAGGAGTCAGGACTCAACTACACCCACCTGAACGTGGAGACGCCTAGGAATTATAAGGTACGCGGGGACACTAGGGACCCACGAATACCTCGAGGTACCATACAGAGGAACCTGGCCCTGCGGTGGCTCCGGGAGACATCCAGCGTAAACAACAGCCAGCCTGGGATTGTCTACTTTGCAGATGATGACAACACATACAGTCTGGAGCTGTTTGAGGAGGTAAGAAGATATACTGGAATGCAAAATCATGCATGACATAGATCTGAATCTACGAGTACAATGTCTCCTACTCATCCTTATACAAACTTCTTACTTGTGTGTCATAGCTAAATGTATGGAATTTATGGCATTTATGGAACTGAAATTAACTCAGTGAGTGACTTGTGTTTTGTGTTTTCAACTACCAGATGCGTACCACCAAAAAAGTGTCCGTGTGGCCTGTGGCCTTTGTGGGTGGCCTACGGTATGAGTCTCCTAAAGTAAACACCTTGGGCAAGGTGTATGGCTGGAAGACTGTCTTCGACCCACACCGGCCCTTTGCCATCGACATGGCTGGGTTTGCAGTGAACCTGCGCCTCGTTCTGTCTAAACCTCAGGCTTATTTCAAGTTACGTGGGGTGAAGGGAGGTTACCAGGAGAGCAGTTTATTAAAGGAGCTGGTCACTCTCAGCGATTTGGAGCCTAAAGCTGCTAACTGCACTAAGGTATGAAAGGGGACTCTGTGCATGTTTGAAATGTTGTGTGACCCATGTGACTTGGCTTCTGTAAATGCTTCTAGTGTAAGAAAATGTGTAATCCTTGGTTGTCATAACAATTTGTTCTTAAAGTCAGTAAACTGTCAGCTTACAGCTAATTATTTATGCTTACAGCTCATTTAAAATATACTCTAGACATTGTGTAGCAGGTATGATGTAGTATATTACTACTGCACAACATTATGACCCAACATTTCTGTTTTAGTGTTTCATCATATTAACTCTATTCCTGCTCTTCTCCATCCCTTTTTTTTTTTCCCGCAGGTTTTAGTATGGCACACACGGACAGAGAAGCCTGTGCTGGTAAATGAGGGCAAGAAAGGATTTACAGACTCTAATGTAGAGATATGACATACTTCATCTGACACAGGTAATAGCAGAGATTTAGAAATGCAAATTACTGCATTTACACACTGTGATTATTTTGGGGGATGGGCCAAAGTGGAGCATCTCAGCACATAGTACGTGCACCATAAGATATGGACCTCACTTGAAATAGATCTCTGACTTCTTCAAAACATGTTTAAAGAATTGTCTCCTGCAGAGGAAAAAAAATTGCTTTGGTTATTACAAATATATTTAGCCACAGTAGGGCTCTTGGTTATGTTGGTCAGTCAGTCAGTCTGCCACTTGGACTGAATATCTCTAAAATTATTGATTGGATTGCCATAAACTTTTTAACAGAACACTCATGGTCTCCAGCAGATACACCCTGACCTTTCATTTAGCACCACAGTTGTGGATGGATTTGAACATATATCTATGGTGCCCTGAGATGAAGCCTGATGATTTGAATGATGCCTGAATTTTCATCTAGTGCCACCAGCTTGTCAAGGTTTTCACTAATCAAGAGAAATATCTCTTTATCTACTGGATTGATTGGCGGGATAGACTGAAAATTGTGTACAAGCTCATGGTGCCCAGAGAATAAATCATAATGACAATGGTGACATTTTTGTTTTTTAGTGAAATGTCTCAACAACTGTTGGATGGATTGCCATGAAATAGAGATGTTCATGTCCCCCTCAAGATAAATTGTGATAACTTTGGTGATCCTGTGACTTTGGTTTATGGTCAAATACAGTACCTGCAAAACTAATGACATTTCCATCAGCCTCAATTGAACTTTGTGTTTAGTACTAATTAGCGATTGTTGCATGCTTTTTAGTAAGATGGTGAACATGGCGAACAGTATACCTGCTTAGGATAGCAGCATGTTTGCATTACCATTGTGAGCCCGTTTAGATCATAGAGGCCGGACACTAAAGCGTAACTCTCAGTCTTGTTCATAAAAGTGACACTTTTTTTCAATTTGCATCTTGTTTCCTTGTTTGCCTGTGTTAAGTGTAAAATTGTTCTCATTTCAGGGGAGGCATTTATCCATGGGATTCTACCAGGATTCAAACCAACCTCAGAGCTCCTTAAAGCATTAGCCAGGGTCAACAAAATGATCACAGCACAGTAGCTGTAATTCACCACAGCTTAGTAATGGAGGCGCACCTGTCCATGCCAGGAGACAGCACTAGCCGTGTGCGTGAACTGACCACAGAATATCAAAGCACAACTGCACAAAAACAAGCCGGCCTGCTCTGCTCGGAGCATTGGCTGATGCGAGACACTGGTAGGAGTTGCCAAAAGAAGCTTGCTTGCTGAGGTCTCCTCGGAGAGCTGAGACAAAGGATGTTATGCGATTTGAACCGCAGGAAGAGATGGCACTGCAAGCAATAAAGAGCCCTCTGAGCCTAGACAACGCCAGCCAACCATCCAATCAGCATTAAATAGGGCCCTTTTGTTCTGAGGCGAGCTGGCTGTCGGGCACAGGGCTGCACAGAGGAATAAAAGGGGTCCTTGTCTTAAGTGAGTCAGCACTGACTGACAGACTGCACTGAGGGGAGCTGAGCCCCCCTCCACCCATGTACTGTACAACACTGAACTGTTTAGATAACATCCTGAACCTAGCACTAATTAGGAGTCATGTTACTCCTTAACACACATGCTCAGCCATCACGCTGCACATGATGAGCACACATACACACGTGCACTCAAAAAAACATGGAGCAATGATTTATTACAGTGTAACAGTGAAGTCCTCTCTTACAGTCATTTACTGTATTTATTCCTGCTGTAACACTATTGAGGTCTACTCATATTTAAGAGAAGTATTCCTAAGGGCCTGTCCACTTCTCAGGCTTCTTCATAAGCTAATTATGATCCAACTGAGTGAACTGAAGGTTTCTCAGCAGAATTATTTATTGTTTCAGAGTCACTGGTACTATTCACTTGTAAGTTGTGAGCTATGCTCATGTGAGTCAATGGGACATGAAGCCATTACTCTAAAAATCGGATGCGCATCCTTTCAAATAGCTGTATTACACAATCTTAATTATTCCCACCATGGATGGCTGGCATGCAAGTGATGATTTCATACCCCATTGACTTGCAGTGGCACTGCTAATGTTCTCTGACTCTGGTCATTTATTGATGTGACAATACATCAATAAACAACCCTTAACTTAAGGATTGTTGCACACAATGCTGCTTGTGTTTCATGTGAAGGTTTTTCACATCACTCTTGCTTCAGTTCAGATTGTCCCATGGCCTTTTGTTTTATAGGCAAAAATGTGTCCATTTCAATAACTGCTACCCGACACGTTCTGCGGAACATTCACACAAGCAATACAAATCTATCAACAATATCAAATACAGCTGCCATCCCCAAACAGCAATCATTACTCTTTAACTGGAAATCCATGAACAAGAGGATATACCTGGTAATTCTGCTTTATGTGTAAAGAGTCACTGTAACTAAAGGTACTGAATGTACATAGGTATAAAATGCTGCCATACAAACAAGCCTCTCTCTGTTTTTAAGATATTATATTCGAGAATGACCATATTAACAACATTAATATCCCTGAATTTGAAGGTTCAACCTAATTTTTGTAAATATTTAAGACACAAGATACACAAAAAATGCCCATACAGGCAGTGATGACAGTCACTGGATGTCTGCTGCCATGCCAAGATCAGGCGTCTCCTCAAAGAGGACCTTGTAGTCACCCTCCTGCTCCTCAAACACAATTACCTTTTTAGAGTTAAACAGAAAAAGTGAGAGAGAAAGAATAGAGAGTTAGAGCTTTGAGACTTGACTTTGCTGTGTTTTCACACTTTGAAAATGTAAAATTAATCATTTAAGTCCATTACAATGCCTGGGATTTTGTTTCTTCTGTAAATAGAATAGTATGGTGAAAATTGCTATTTGTTTTCTTGCCAAGAGTGAGTTGAGTAGATCAATACCACTCTCATGTCTGTACACTAAAAATGAAGATATAGCCAGCAACCGGGTATCTTAGCTTAGCACAATGACTGGGAAAAGGGGGTAACGGCTAGCCTGGCTCTGTCTAAAGATTAAAAATAATATGCCTGCCAGCTCTTCTAAAGCTCAATATTTCACAATGTGCTATGTACAAGGTAGGTTGTACAACCGGTTGTAAAGTGAAATTAAGTTTGTAACTCCCTTCTGCTACGTAGCAGACAATATACAGTAATACAAAAACAATCATAAAAATGGTAGACAGAAATAAACTATACTCATTGGAGCAGTGTAAAAGCCGCTCTGCAGTCTGGTGGTGCAGCAGAAGAAACTTCTGTCTCTGCCAGAAGGCAGCAGGGTGAACAGGCTGTGGCTGGCTGGATACTGTCCTTTAATATCCTTTGGGCTCTGCATATGTCTTGTGTGTCTAGTGGAATCAATCTTTTCATATAACTCTCGGAAAGAAAACAACTAAGCGTATTTCCTATAATATCAAACCATTTCTCTAACGAATGCTGGTATCATACACAGCTGTACCTGGTTGACTCCGCTGTTGAGGAAGGGACCAGGGAGGTAGAGAGTCTGCTGGGGGCCAATTGACCAGTAGCGGCCCAGATTCAGCCCGTTAATAAAAACAACACCTTTCTCCCAGCCCTGTGGACCCACAGAAAATTGCAGGGCTTCACAATGTATACAGAAAAGATTTCTCATACAAACACACATGCACAAAAAATGTACATAACATAAAAACAATACGTTTCATGTCACTTACTGGCAACTTCACAAATGTGTCACTTGGATACCCGAATGCAAACAGCCTCCCCATGAAAAATCCAGGGAAGCTGGGAGTTTCAGGGAGAGTTTTCCAGGGTGCCTGATAAAGACTGAAATGAGGGATCCACTTCAAATACACTATTACATCAGAATGAAAGTGATATGCAGCGCTTTAAATTCAATAACGCGTACAAACCTATCAATAAAGCTGGGTTTCATATCAAGGCTGTATATTGTAAAATCCCGCAAGGGGATATTGTTTAATAAAACGTCTCCCACAAGGCCTGCAAGAACACAAATCAAAATTGGCTTGTATACTACACACTGACTCCTTGAGTGATTTAATAGCACGCATAGCAATGAACATACTGTCTGTCGATCACCTTTGTGTTGTTTGTCAAGGTCCTTTCCCTGATGAACTCGTCCACAGTTTTCCACCAATAAACTCAAGGTACGCTGTCCCTGTAGGGATTGATTGCTTTTATGTCTTTTGCAAGTTTTAACAGTCAACACTTCAGCATCCATCACATCAGATAACTGAGAATGACGTTTATTGGACATTTGCCTTCGTTGTCCAACTTGATGCCATACCTTACCATCAGGAACCGCCAGCTCCCGGCTTTGGCGCTTGAAAAGGCCAATGTAGCTTCTGTCTACAAACACCTTGGAGGAAAAATATTGCTGTCAAATAAGTTACGTTATAGTACACAACACATAAACTCTGCTTCACTGAAAGATCTGTCATCACCTCTACACAACATACATATGCTGTATCTCCTGATACTGGGAAATACACTTATTCGCTTTCTTGCTGAGAGTTAGATGAGTAGAGTGATACTACTCTCACACCTGTCCTTTAAATATCAAGCTCCAGCAGACAGGTAGCTTAGCATAAAGACTGGAAACAGGGGGCAACAGCTAGCCTGACACTATATATCAAATCTTATATCTGATGTCTCACACTGACAAGAAGTTTCCAGGAAGTCAGTGTGCCTGGCCGAGAAATTCTCCCTCGTAAAACCACAACTTGTCAGTCCATGTTTTTGTGTGGAATAAACAAATAAGATATATTATAACATCATTGGTGAGCTTACGAGATTGCTGGTAGGCAAATTGTTTACCTTTGGACAGACCCAAACTAGCTGTTTTCCTCTTCCTCTTCCATTCTTAGCAAAGCTAAACAGCTGCTGGCTCTAGCGTTATATTTTGCACACAGATTTGAGATTTGTATATATTTTCCCGTTTAACTCGCAGCAAGATAGCATATTTGCCAAAATGTGAGACTTTTCCTTCAAATTTAATTTCAATCAGTGATCATGATGGCAACCTATCCATACCGCATAAGGTCAGATCATTTAAGACCATGCCATCATGGACAACAAGAACTCACTAGGGCACGGTCTCGGACATTGTCTCCAGACTTCAATAATCCTCCTCTGGTGATGGTAGTCTCATAGAGCGTGTATCCATAGGACTGGCCATTCCTGTTGTTCACAGGTAGATTCTCCATGTTTACTGGCTTGAGTGACTTAAATGGCTGCAGAACATTGAAAGAAAAAAATTGACCTCATTGACTGAAAAGTTAAATTCTTTTCATTACACGTACATTACATAATATGCAACAGATAATCTTACATAAAACATACTCCCTCAGTGAAGCTCAACGCATCCCATAAGGACAGGTGCTGGTACATGACGGCTGGTTCATAAGCCTCCCTGTAATGCAGGGCCGGCATGTCAGGGAAACTGTCTTCTCCTGCACAGAAAGATTAAAGATCAGGCAATGAGGTCCGTCACGGCATGTTTTCACATACTTAATTCTCATTCAAGTTTAGTGTTTAACTTAGCCTACTGTTGAATCGAGAAAGTAAATCCCTGAGGAGATGGTACTTTGGAGTGTACTCCCCAGCTTCAGACAAAGGAGCGTCATAATCTGAAAAACATGGTAGTCATGTGCTGCCACCTGCTGGTGTTCCGGTCGGGCCACACTGTCTACCTGAGCAGCGCATGTGCGTCGCGGAGCCTTTTTCTATCCATTTCGGCGCCCATGTTAACAGATTTGAGCCGCCACACAGCTCGCGGCGAGTCTATGATGTCTATGATGAAGCGGATCCGTTTCAGATTAAAAAGCCCTCGAGCGTTTCTGTGCACATAATCCCTGAATTTGTTAACAAGGACTTTATTGTGTTGTATTTATCAACGGCAAACTGGATGTAGAAAGAGAGGGCTGGCAGTAGTAGCGCCGCAGCAGCCTGTCGGTGTGGACACTGCGGGCCGCAGAAGTTTACGCACAGGTAAAGGTAGGCAGTGTGGCCCAAGAGTTAAGTTCATTGCTGTTCTGGAGACACAAAGAACAAGAACATATCCTCTAGCTCTGACATGGCAGTGCTTCATCATTCATCATCACGCCTTGTACATTTGGATTAAAGACACCACTAGTTTGTATATGACAGAGAGCACATGACTAATGGAACCAACCATAGCTGGGGACCAGTGCTTTGTAGGAAGGATCAGCCAGTGCTCCGCTCATGAAGCCAAAACTGGAGCCTCCGTGGAACATGTAGAGGTTGACAGACATGCCTCGCCTCAGAATTTCCCTCACAGCAGACACCATATCTGAAGAGAAGTACATGTTCATTGTAAACTATAGTACTCAAGACCGGTCTTGGTCTTGAGACCATTTTTTGATGGTCTTGTCTCGGTTTCGGACATTGAGGACTGGATTCTATTTCAAGACCAGTCAAGACCATAACTTTGGGAATATCCATGAATTGCTTTTGCATTGTCTGATTTATTTGTTCCATCATAACCTTGATTGGATGTAAAACGTATTGTTTCAAATGCAACCAATAACCCTAATTAAAAATGTGTTGTTCCCGTTAATGACTGTCCCCCCCCTACCTGTGATGGTAAGCATGGAAAATGTGTGTTGGATAAAGATGCTTAAGTTGATTTCAGCTCTTAGTGTTTGTATGTGGGTGTTTTAATGGGAAAGTGGATCTTTCAGATCAGTTTGAGAAGTACCTATGATCTCGTTCCACATTTTATTGTGTGTCATGTAGGGGGAACTGGTCTTGGACTTGACTTGGTCTTGCCCTCCTTCGGTCTTGGTCTCGACTTGGTCTCAGGCCCTAAAAGTCTTGGTCTTGACTACAACACTATTGTAAACATCCATGCAACAGGGAAATCATAATAATGCACACACATTTAATCAAGCCATTGAAACCTTTTTGACCTTCTGCTGATTTGACTTTCAGAATTTGCACTTTCATTTGCATTGGTGGCGTTCATCATGCAAAAAGCAAAGCGGTGAGGAAATCTATATAGGCGTCTCAAACACACTGAGAGAGACAGCCTTTGTTTACAGTTAACAGTGACTTGAGATTAGCAGGTAAAATTAAAAGAAATACTTTAAGAAGAGATGTCTGTCGCCTACTGAATGACAAAGGACAGAAAGTAAGTTGACCTCACCAACATGTGTTTTTCAAAGCTGATACCAGTATTTCTTAAGTAAATCTGCAGCAAGTTTCAAGAAGAATTAATAACCCTATATAATAATTTTAAAAATGTGATCATTGTGATTGGATCCAAGAAGTAGGCTGAAGATTTCTTACCCTCTAAGAAAGTCTTATGAGGGTCTAACAGGAAATAAAGGTCCAATGTCCTGGCATAACATATTAGTTCTATTTTTTTCTAATTTGATACAAAGTACGTCTTATTAGTGCACCATAAAATAAAGTATAACCTTATTTTCCCCAGGGAACCACATTAACATCAAAATATTTTTTTATATGTGAAATGTGCTTGGCCACCTACACAATAGTAATAAAGATTGGGCTACATTACAGCCTTTATGTGAAGAAAGCATGAAAAAAAGCAATATAAATGAAAAATTAATTGCAGTTTTCAAAAAGCTGTGATCAGAGGAACCTCCATCAAATTTACTGCAAATATCTGTAATTAAGAAAGTATCCCTACATATGCAATAAAAGTTTGTTTTTCATTTACACCTTTATGAGATATTTGATGGTGAGGAGACCCAGGATGGTGCAGTTATATTGGTATGTGCCTTAACCATTCGGCTACCAGGCTGAGAATCTCCCTTACCCTCTGGGGGAAGCACATGATGGAGGTCACCCCACACATCATACCAGCCGGTCCAGTAGTCCATCACCATGGTAGGGCTGTTGGGCTGACAAACAGCGCAGAAAAAAGGCCCACACTATCAGCTGACAGAGCTCAATGTCCAGTGTTTCATTAACTGTTTATACTTGATGTCCTTAGTGACAGACAGTGAAATGATGTGGAAAGGTAAGATACACACCTGGATAGCATTCAGATCCTGGATGTCTCTCTGATTTAGCTTCTGCAGCTTTATTGATCTGATAACTACAAGATTGGAGATCACAATGTAAGCTGTGTGTGTGTGTGTGTGTGTGTGTGTGTGTGTGTGTGTGTGTGTGTGTGTGTGTGTGTGTGTGTGTGTGTATTAATATACTGTACCTCCATCCACACCCCCTGACTTTAACGTGTTGTGGCTGTCTGATGTGAGTAAGAGCTCACTGATCCCTCTGGACTGTAAAGCCTTTCAAAACAAAACAGAATATTACAACAGAAGGTATGGACATCATCAGATTAATCCATTAGCTTAATATCAATCTCTCCTTGTATGTTTACTGTAGGGGGCATTTTAATTAAGCAAGCCTACCACATTACCTCTTTAATAAAAAGCATGTAACTTTCATCCTTTGCAAAGGATCCATACTCGTTTTCAACTTGCACTGCAATAATGGGACCACCTTTCTTGAACTAGGAGACACAAACAAAACATTTTAAGGATGACAAGGCAAATGAAGTGGAGCTACAACAAACTTGTTTCCAGCTATAGTGACAAAATGCAACCTGCAGTGGAACCACTTTTGGTATAAGTTTGTCAAAATAAGTATTGACAGCCTGAGTAAAGCCTGGGTATGTCGTCCTCAGTCTCATGCTGCCATCGCTGAGAAGCCAGCTGCAAAGAGACAGACAAAAAGATGCTTATCATGACTGAAGCCACAGAGCTGCAAGAACAACGGAGGCACAGTAAGTCTAAAATACTGGACAAAGCTTCACACACTGACCAAATCTTCCCTTACAGCAAGATGGGACTTTTTTACCCTTATTTCACTCAACAAAAAAGTGGCACTTTGTGGTTCAGATCAAGTGGCTTTTTTGCTGTCGGGGAAAATTCATTTACTTGAAACTTCATTTCATTTATTCAGGGATATAAACCAGTCAGAGCTCGTTAAATGAAAGCATTGGAGAAGTTTGAATCTACATCCCACTTTCACAAATACACAGAACATTGGGAATCATATACATTTTATTTTCTCAAATAGTTATAAGCAAAGTTTACTAGCACTACCTTGGCAGTCCTCCTAGGTCCAGCTCAGAGGAAATGTATGGCCCAGGACGTAAAATCACCCACAATCCCAATTCAGCAGCAAGATTGACGTAGGATCTGAAACCCAGACGGAGAAGACAATCAATAAGCATTTTCTATATGCACAAACACAAAGTTTAGACCGTGAGTGAGGTCACATATCTCCTTGTTTGAGGAGTGTGAAATGTCCCTGGCAACAGCAGCGGCTGAGGCGTCACATCCCTCCTCACTTATCACCGCTGTGTTGTTAATTGCTCGCTAAGTTGCTGTTGTCGGGGAGATGCCGCTGTCGTCAGATGGGACCTCTCTGCCTGTAGCCACTCCCCTGAGCACTGGGGCTTAGATGATGAGAAGAGAAGGGGAGTATTCCCAACATGCCATAGAGCAAGTAATATTGTTATAACAGCTATAGAGGTGGGGCAAGGTGTTTTCATTCTTAATTTGGACATTTTTCAGTTGCTGATGCGGTTCATTGAGAGCATTGGCTGCACTCACATAAGCAACAAACTGTATGGTGATTAATTATCGGTGTGTTTTGCATTCAGGTAAAGGAAGAGTCACACTACTCCTTACTCTAAATCCAGCTGTGTGTGGAAGTTGAAAACCCCTCTCTCTGGCTGGTGCAGACTCCATGGCACATACCTGCGAGGATGCAGGACGTTTTCTGTTAACATTCAACCAGTGACCAGTCTTGAGAAACAAAAACACATCCACAGTAATTTGCCTACGTAGTGAGGGTGTTGATTCCACAGGCCTTCATTTTCATCAGGCGGTCCCTCCAGTAGGCCTTGGGCACACGGAAATAGTGGATGGATCCCCCGAGGATGCGGAAGGGCTCTCCCCCCAGGGTGAACTGGGATGAGTTGGTGCTAAGACCCACCTTCCTGCTCATTCTCCGTCCCCCTGCTGGCATGCTGGAAGAGGAGTTGTGGCTTATTTGTGTCACACTCACATAATATAGCACATAGACTATTGTGCTTTAACAGACCACATGATGCTTGATTGGAATTTGCAGACATCTTGTGCTGGCAAACCCAACCACAAAGGAGGAAGAACATATTTGAATTTGAGTTTCATTTCAACCTAAATTTTACATAGGTCTATACTTAAGATATATTTATTATTATATATACAGTTACAAGAATTATATATATATATATATATATAGTCCTATCTTTCATGCCATAGTTAAAGCTTTTGCGAAATTAAACAAATTCTCTAAATTATAATGATTTTTATTGTGAGATAGCAGTGAAAATGTTTCACTACATAGCTTCACCTAATATCATGGCACCAGTATAATATTACTATAGAGATTTCCTGTATTTGTCTGTGATAGAGTTCTAGTATAGTATCACACTGTGTCTCTTGCTATATCCCTACAGAAACTTGCGGCATTGCAATGATAATATAGTGGGTCATTAATTGACTGTAATTAGGTATTACATTAGGTACAACAAGCAGCCTGAAAGTAGCTCTAACTGAAACATGCTGAACAATAGTGAGAACTAACTTACCCGAGATATCTGTACATGATGAAGCCAACAATGCACAGGCAGACAAGTGCACATTTCCTTTTGTGCGAATTTCTTACCCTCAAGACAACCATCGAGAGGATGAGTGATCCCTTTCAGTGACATAGGAAGCCGTCGAGTCAAATTAAGGGCAGCATCTGAGCATAGATACAAGCACGACGCTGGCATGACGAACGCACCGCCTCGTGGGAGTGCCCCTGTGCAGAGCCATGGAAATCTAACACACCTTATTAACAGGGTTTGGTTGTGTCCGTGTTACTCATCGGTCTAGCAAAAAAAGTAGGTGAAAATGACGAAATGACTTCCAATAGCCTATAATTATTTTCCAGATAGTAATATTGATTTATAAAAACATATCGTTTCTTCAAACACAAGAGTTCATGAAAATATAAACATACTTATGTTAACCATTTAAAGCTTATTATATCAGCATCTGTAAGTGTAAAACAAACACAAAAAAACCCAATAAAAACAAAAACGAAAAAACAGCTGGTGACATTTTTTCTAAGCCTATATTTTCTATAGCCTATATTTTCTATAGCCTATATTGCAGACATAAAAAAAAAAAACAACAATCCAACATATACAAATATCAAATATCAGAAAGGGCATGACCCGACATAGGGACAAAACAAAAACAAAGCATCACTAAAGTCTTAATTATAGGGTATGTATACAGAATCTCACAAAAGTATGTACACCCCTCACATTTTTGTAAATATTTGATTATCTTTATTATCCGATGCATATCTTTTCACATATATTGTGAGATAGTGTATATGTCAAGTGTCAACCACAGACTGTATAAAAATGTTAACTGAATGCATTTTGAATAACATAATGCAATCATACACAAACGTTTCCAATCATTGTTTTAATGCGCAATTTCCCTCTTAAAAACAGTAATGAGGTTAACAAGACGTTCCCTTCCTCTCTCTTCCCCCTCCAATTAGCAGGACTACACTTCCCATGTTCCTTAGAAGTCGGAGCTTGCGCAATGTGTTTTCCACGGCCCTGGCCGCACGTAGTATCTACTGTTTTTGTTGTCACATTAAGAGGGCAAAAGAAATAATTAACGGAGTTAATATAACCCTGAGCGAGTCGCATGAGGTAAGGAAGACACCGCGGCTAACTGTGTGCTCTGTCTCTGACTTTACACGCTTGTTGAGATGCTGTCTTGACGATAAACCCAACAGTTAAAATAGTTGTTGAGGTGAACAGTTAGCTAGCAACACAGACAGACAAGCTAGCAGAGCACTAAACAAACAAACGAAAGTAAAAGATTGTGAGACCGGAGGCATCGTGCAGACCACACGAGCTTTATAAGTTCACATATGCGATTGTTAAGACTTGTCGGCAGGCCAGACAGAGCCAGCAAACACTGACTGTTCGCTTTTGCATATGCGAGCTAACCCACTGAGTCAGCTTGCTAACGTTAACGCTAACTTGCACAAACAGCATGAGCTAGAGACGCTGGCTGAATTAACGTTTCACTTCCACCTTGGTACAAAACTTGTGTAATTAACAGAGTCTGTTTGGGAATACAGGTGACGTTGCTCTTGTTACTCATGCAGACAAACGCATTGGTTTGTTGATAAAGAAAGCAGATAATAGCGGCATTTATATTACACATACATTAGCTATGCTTCCCTACTTTCAGTTAGGTCAGCTAATAAGGTCAGATCCTGTTGGACCCCCTTTTTACACTTATCATGATCCTGTTTGATTTGTTTGTTCTACATTAAACTTTTAGATCCTAAAGGTCCATCGATAGTTTTCATAGTATCAAAGTCACTTTAGCATAGGGCTGGGCAATAAAACAATAATGATAATTATCGCAATATAATTTTCCTCAATATCAATATAATAAATGTTCAATATATCGTCAATAAATATTTGGTTTAAAATATTTATTTTGTTGAGGAATAGGGACTGAAAAGATTTACTAATATTTGTTGAAAAAGATTTTATCAAAATAGTTTTGAATGTTCTGCCTCAGATTTGTTGTGATCCACTGTTTGTCACATTCTGACTATAAAGAAGAGTTTAACTACATAATTAACCATCTGGTTTCTTAAATTTTCACTCAGGAGCAAAAATCAGCCTTTAAGCTTAAGAAATAATTATTTGACATATCGTGATAATTATCGATATCGAATAATATGAAATGTTTATATCGTGATAACATTTTTGGCCATATCGCCCGGCCCTACTTTAGCATTATGTTTTATCTAACGTTGTGGGTTGATTGAGATATTATTTAGGAGTAAATTATAAAGTTGTCAAGGGGTTCCTTGGAGAATATAGTCTACGCTCTCCTTGGGCTCTAAATGTTGTTTGAGGCTTTTTAACTGTCTCCCCTTTTTAAAGCAATTTTTGACCCAAAAACCCATAAGATTTTATGAAGGAATACTGGTATCACCCTTGAAAAACACACATTGGTTGAACCCTCAAGTTACATCCGATGTAATATTCCACATATGGAAAAAGGTGCCAGCAAACAGCCTTAAGGCTAGAAGGGTTTTTCATTCCTTGAAGTAAAATAATAATACTGAAGGGTTTGAGCCTTGTGTAGGCACATGAAAAACTTAGAAAATATGAAAATACCAAGATCACTATTTCTTAAAGTACTAAAGTTGATTATTTTAACAATAAAGCAGTCATGGGCGGGGTTGGGGGGATTAAGGTGACTATTACTGTTCAGATCTGCGTTTTAGAGGTTATTGTAAATTTCTAGACAAAGCTCCACCTGCTTGCTCTTGTCCTCATTTTGTTTCCTTGGTTTTTGGTTGTGGCAGGTTACTGGGTGAGCCCCTCCCTGCCATGAGAGCTGACCACCAGGTCACCAGCCCCCCCTCCTTCTGCAGTTGATGGATCTGCAGCTGGTCCAGAGATGACAGACAGCGTCAGGGCTTTCCTCCGTAATGTTGCGACGGTTAGCAAACACACACGCACTGTAGTCACACATAAGCTATGATACGAGGCACAAAGGTGTAGATCATTGACACAGTGAAACAGATCCATGCATTTCAACTAATGGACAGGCTTGTATACCAGGATATGACTTTTAATACCGTCAAAAATACAGACACTCCTCTTTCTATTAAATTGATACAGAGATGCTGTATTGAGATGATGTTATTGTAGTGTACCCCCTTAATGTAGGTGGGTGACGCCATGAGAACAACGCAACAATGCAATAACCCCCTTCACTTTTCCAGCAGTTGGTAAACAACACACACGGGAGCTTTAGCTGCAGCCTTTATTCGCTGTCATCTCGTCCTCCAGCAAGAATATATGGATTAATAGTGCTTATTCTCTATCGGACCAATATTCTATGAGCCATAAGTATTTAAACCCAGTAAGGCTTGTCTAAGTAGGCTAATTGCATATTAGACACACAACATTGTAGGCTAGACAATGCCGTACATGCTACAAGGACTTCTATGGTAAGCAGTTCAGCTTTGTGATTTTTCTTTTCTTTTTATTACAAATAGTGTCATATACTGTATATACCCTGGTGAAATGTCAGAAAGGTATGAAAACATTACTACTAATGGACCCATTTAGCTTTATTTTGAAATAGAAGAGACATACATTCACTTGCTACTTTGTTAGGTACACCTATATAGAAAGGTGTAATATTTTGTCATCCTCATATCTCTGTAAATGCAGTGGGGGAAAAAATATTATAAATACCTTTCAATGTAATGCAGTCCAGTACCACCACCACCCACTATGACCTCAATAACATAAAAACAAGTACTTAAATAAACAAATTACCAAAATTCACAACATTGGGGGAGGGCATTTTTCTATGTCAAGTTAGAAACAAACACATTCTCTCTCGATGTGGGTTCTTTAGGGGATCAAGGACTCCATATTGGGGATTGGAACAATCTCCAAGCTGGATGCCCGCATCCAGCAGAAAAGAGAAGAGCAGCGGAGGAGAAGGGCCAGCGGGGCCCTGGCACAGAGACGGGCACAGAGTGAGGAGCGCAAACCGGACAAGTAAGTCAAAAGAAAAACTTTATCTTACCTAGCCAGAGCCATCATTGCTATTTATGAGCTTTTAAAAAAAAGCTGGAAATGCAAGCCCCTCAGGTAAGTGCTGAACTCAGCTCAACCAAATCGCATTTCTCTATATTCTCATATTACTGTGAATAATGAAAATAACTTTGTGAAGGTGTAAATAACAACATGTTTATTTGGAGCAGGTATGGATCTATGCAGCTCTAATATCTCCTCATTTCAATAGAGCTGCCAACTGTTACATAACTGTAAATAAAAAAACATTGTTCCAAATACCTTCAGTGCAAGCACAGACATGGTAACAGCATCCATTAACTTGTCTTACTCTGGTTACGTAGTAGAAGTGAAATTAAAGAGGTACTATTATGCTTTTTGGCTTTTTCCCTCTCCTTTAGTGAGTTATATACCTTTTATGTGCATGTAATAGGTTTGCAAAGTGAAAAAGCCCAATGTCCAGCCCAAAGGGAGTTCCCATCTCCCACAGAAAACTCTGCTCTGATCTGCCTGAAAACAACTCGTTTGTAGTCCAAACGAGTAATCCCTGTGACGTCACAGGGATGAAAGCTAAATGCGCCTCATATAACTCTCGCCAAGCGGCGACTCCAACACGCCCTCAATAACAGGTGGAAAAACAGTGAGCTGCAGCACACAACTCTCCTCTCCCTTCCAAACACTAGCTACCCTCCAGGCAGTCAGTGGACATAAAGTTGTTACTGTGATGTAGAGACAGAGCTCAGTTAAAACTTTATGGATAAAAGATACTTTTGTTACAGATTAATAACTCACCACTCTGAAACTCTTGCTCCAGTCCACGTTGCCAAGCTGGTCGGCAACATGTCCAGCTGAACCGAAGCTGTTTACCGTCTTCTCACTGACCTGCCTTTCTCTGCTTCTGATTGGCTAGTAGTCCTTAACTAGGAACTGCGCATGTGCAACTCCCAACAAAGATCATTTAGAGACAAGATGCATTACTCCATAGCTAAAACGAAGCCTTCAACACAAGGTGAAAAGAGGAGCTGCAGCAATGTGCAAAAATATGGTGTTTCTTTTTTAATTAAACAATGTAAACCTGTTCTGG